ATTAGATTTTTATAAGGAGCGCACAACCCAGATCCCTTGGATGTGCAGTTCGCAATAGGGTTCATGCTCCTATGAGAATATATTGTCTCCTGATCTGACAGGAGGCGGAGCTCAGGCCATAATGTGAGCAGTAGGGAGTGGCTGTAAATATAAATGAAGCTTCCTTTTGCTGTAAATACGCATAAAGCTTCCCTCCTTCACAGGTGCTTACTTCCTGCTGTGTGGCCTGGTTCCTAACATGCCATGGACCCCTACAGGTCTGTGGCCTGGGGGTTGGGGACCCCTGATATAAACCATTTCTTTACAGTAAAAGTAATATATACCAATTTTTTTAAAGGGTAGTGTACAGGAAGATGTAAAAGCACCTATAATTCTACCTGAGAACTACTATTTTTTTTTTTTCTTCCTGTTTTTGAGACGGAGTCTTGCTCTGTCGCCCAGGCTGGAGCGCAGTGGCGCGATCTCGGCTCACTGCAAGCTCTGCCTCCCAGGTTCACGCCATTCTCCTGCCTCAGCCTCCCAAGTAGCTGGGACTACAGGCACCCCTGCCACGCCCGGCTGATTTTTTTGTAATTTTAGTAGAGACGGGGTTTCACCGTGTTAGCCAGGATGGTCTCGATCTCCTGCCCTCGTGATCTGCCCACCTCAGCCTCCCAGAGAACTACTTTATACTCAATAATTATAGCTAACACGTAGGTATAATTTACACATATGATCATACTATACATTCATTTTTTTTTTTTTTGGTCCGAGACAGGGTCTCACTTTGTCACCCAGGCTGGAGTCCTGTGGCACGATCTCAGCTCACTGTAGCCTGAACCTCCTGGGCTCAAGTGATTCTTCTACCTCAGTCTCCTGAGTAGCGGGGACTACAGACGTCTGTCACCACACCTGTTTCTTGTATTTTTTTGTAGGGACAGGGTGTCTCAAGTCATCCACCTGCCTAGGCCTCACAAAGTGCTGGGAGTACAGGTGTGAGCCACTGCTTCCGGCCTGCATTCACTTCTGCAATTTGTGTTTTCTACTCAGTAATATAACATGAAGACCCTTCTAATCTGTTTTCCGTACCCGTTCTGTAATGAAATAGTTAAGCTTCCTTGTCCATTTCATTTGCTAGTGGCTAGAAACTTTCCAGTGAGCTTATGTTATCATTTCAAAGATCTTAGCTTACTCTGAGTGTGAGGTTCCAGGGCTTTTGTTGCTGAGTGCTAGCGGAAGTGACTGAGTTCACTTGCTAATTTGGCTTTCAGATTGCTCATCATTTGTTTCCTTGTTTTTTTTTTCCTCTTATCTACCCATTATAAAAGGATATATTTACATATAAATTTTTTTTTTTTTTTTTTTAAGAGACGGAGTCTCGCTCTGTTGCCCAGGCTGGAGTGCAGTGGCGCAGTCTTGGCTCACTGTAACCTCCGCCTCCCAGGTTCAAGTGATTCTCCTGTCTCAGCCTCCCAAGTAGCTGGGATTACAGGCACTCACCACCACGCCTGGCTATTTTTTGTATTTTTAGTAGAAACGGGGTTTCACTATGTTGGTCAAGCTGGCCTCGATCTCCTAACCTTCTGATTCCCCTGTCTTGGCTTCCCAAAGTGCTGGGATTACAGGC